ATAAAATGGATAGATCGCTATACTGTAGTATATCCTTTTTTATCATTATCGTTATAACTTGCCATTTCGTTAATAAAAATTACTACAGCTTTAGAAGAGTATTAGCGTTCACCATGCAAAAAGAATCTCAAAAAGATCTTAAACCTGACATACTTAGAAGCTAAAATATATTGTCGTCTATTTAATGATGCAAAATTGCACAGCAAATTAAAGGTGACTAGGAATGCTTTTTATAAGACTAATAATTATCATTTCTAGTTTATTAGATCTTTGCATATTAACTATATTTTTTAAGCATATGCAATGATTATCAGCGTTAGTTTATTAAACTTTTGCACATACTTTAGTATTATTACACTTCCGCTATTGTTAAAATGGTTACCTTATTCTTGCGTAATGATTTTCTTAGCTTATTTAAGTCTAATGAAATAGCTATAAATAAGGTTATTCTTTGTACATAAAGGCAGATTCTCTTTTGCCAAACCAAAATAAATAAGAAAGATCTTTTGCTCTATTGTCACTTGTTCGTTACTAATAAATATTTAATGCTTACAACCAGCAATTGAATTGGCAATGCATTAGTAAAGTTACTCCCTTGTCGTAACAGAGGTTTCAGAAACTATAATCTGAAACCCAAAACTTTCGGGTTTGGCAAAAAAAGTTTTCATTGACCAACTCTAGTGTAATGCTATCATCATAACCTATTATAGTTCAGTGTGTGTATTGTCATGTGTTGTAATATATGAAGTAGGTCGTAATAAATGTTTAAAGTCGTAATAACAGCTGTAAGCTGTAATAAATATCATAGGTCACAATGTTTGTTATATTTATATATAGCACACATTGTAAGTTGGTTTGAATGTCCCAATAAGGTGTCCAACAAACTAATAAGGTAGCTTCGCAATGCTGTTGCACTAAAACCAGGAATGGGATAAGTTCTGACAAATTGTTTACTCATAAATCCTCGAATAGCTTAGGTTTTTATAACAGTCTCTAATAAAAGTTTATCAATTTTTGCATTAGTTTCTGAGTAATTTAGATGGGACACTGTTCGGTCCCTAATCGGTCCCATCTAAATTACTCAAAAACTAATGCAAAAACCAATAAACTTTTATTAGAGACTGTTATAAAGAAATAACTTTTATATAACTTTACTTATTGAACGACTGCTGTATTTTATGGGCGATGATGATTGGTTGGTAACTAGTGATGCCGTAGAATCGTCCCAATGAATTTTTTGAGTTACAACCGATCATGGTTACGGTTGCCGCAAAATCCGTATAGATCCCACTGTGCCGCATTAATAATAAGTTACGTAACTTTAGTCAGTGACATAACTTAAATAAAATCGTAATTTGAATTAATAACAACTTTTAATATAATGTAACTTTGAATTACATGTAAATAGTACTGATAAATATATAACTTTTAATATAGCGTAACTTTAAATTACATGTAAATAGTACTGTCATAATTACGTCATAAAAATATTTAATAAATAAAGATTAATTTATTTTAAAAAAATTTTTTACCGAAATTTTTTAATAATGAAGGCGTTCAAAGACTTTACAAACCAAAATAAAGTTATTTATACAAGCTAATATTAATCAGGAGGCACACTCTTTATTACCTGAATCTAGTAGCAATGCAGAACAACTCTTTACGAATCAAGTTTCTAGTTCTCAACAATTTAATGAAGGATTTTCTGATTCGTTCGATCCTATTTTCGAATCCAACAATATACAGCTCGATGAAGTAAATGGCGATAATTTATTAATCGAAGAAATTATCGAGCTTTCAACCCGACTTTCATTGGTAATAACAATTTATTTATTGAAGAACAAAGCAAGATCTCGAATAACAGGGCTCAACGATAAATCATGATTATAATCCGGCAAGCTTAATAGCACGAATTATTCATGAAGAGAGAGAATAATTAAAATAAATTAATGTCAGGCTTTACATATTTATTATATATTTATGTATGTAAATACGTATTATGGTATAAAGAAAATATAAAGTATAGTACGTATATACGAGTTACGGCATAAAAATTGAGTTACAGCGCATTGTTAGCGGGTAAGTGGTCAACACACACAAAAGTAAAACAGTGGTCGGTCGTTGGACAAAATAGGTATGACCACTAATAACAATACGTAGTAGAGAGGTGAGGCAGATAACGATTTGGCACGGGTCTAAAGTGTCTACTAAGTATCGTTAGGTACGATGATTTGATACAAATTTAAAGAGCGTTTAGACTGGGGTTTATTTGAGGGACTTTATTAACGAAATGGCAAGTTATAACGATAATGATAAAAAAGGATATACTACAGTATAGCGATCTATCCATTTTAT